CGACTTTCGACAATGCACAAAACCCATACCGTATAGTAAGCTATAAAAGGACTCGTCATGATATAATAGAAAACGAATTGCCTGATTTATGCTAAAACAATAAATGCAAATAACACTTTATAAATTTCGCGCCCCTCCGAAGTGCTTTTCTGGATTTACCTTCATTAGGAACACTCAAACCTAACTTGTGACATTTTAAAGCTAGGGATGTATAAATAGGGATGTATAAAGCTAGGGATGTATAAATCTAGAGATGTATAAATAGGGATGTATAAAGCTAGAGATGTATAAATAGGGATGTATAAATAGGGATGTATAAATAGGGATGTATAAAGCTAGGGATTTATAAATAGGGATGTATAAAGCTAGGGATGTATAAAGCTAGATATGTATAAATAGGGATGTATAAAGCTAGAGATGTATAAATAGGGATGTATAAAGCTAGGGATGTATAAATAGGGATGTATAAATAGGGATGTATAAAGCTAGGGATTTATAAATATGGATGTATAAAGCTAGGGATGTATAAAGCTAGAGATGTATAAATAGGGATGTATAAAGCTAGAGATGTATAAATAGGGATGTATAAAGCTAGAGATGTATAAATAGGGATGTATAAAGCTAGAGATGTATAAATAGGGATGTATAAAGCTAGAGATGTATAAATAGGGATGTATAAAGCTAGAGATGTATAAATAGGGATGTATAAAGCTAGAGATGTATAAATAGGGATGTATAAAGCTAGAGATGTATAAATACGTAGAAACTTTTGGAGTTTTATGACCAAAAGGGATTTAAAAAGAATAGCCAAATTCATATAAGGTAAATTTTGCCTGAGGAAGTTGCAACCTTAGTATCTTAATCATTTCTAAATTCATAAACGAGACACAAATATGCTGACAGACGCTATTAACATTTCCGGTCTTTATACGCATTATTTGATCAAAACACTTTGTTTTGACATCATAATTTTGTTCTTTTTTGTTGGCTATTTTGTCGACATGTCGTGTTTCTCTTTTTCACCAAAGGTAATAACTTCAGTGGTCTTTGTTAAGAATGGATGGTAATAAAAACATAATAAAACCCATTGAATAATCGACATTAAAAGCAAGTAAACAATTTAAAGGCTTTGTCGTTCTAGTAGTATATATGAATGTATTTACAAACTTTCAAGCAGAGATTTTTTCTTTTTTTTCATTTTTTTCTGACTGACTGTAAAATCTACAGAAGTTCAGTTTATGAACACAATTGTGAAACTTAAATCGAGAACAATATTTGCTTGCGCCTTTTATAAGAATTGTAACATGGTAAACTTGTATAAAACTTCGTTAATATCTTGAACGTGTTAACTAAAAGAACAAGAGTGCACACGCTGAAATGTCTCGCCTTCTTTACTAATCATTGATATTATGTTGATAGTCCTAAATATAAAGCTTTATTACAACTGTCACATAAACTTAACATTAACCAAGTAAACTAAACATTGACCAATGAACCATGAAAATGAGGTCAAGGTCAGATGAACCATGCTAGGCAGGCATGTACAGCTAACAATTCTTCCATACAACAAATATAGTTGACCTATTGCTTATAGTTTAAGGAAAACAGACCAAAACACAAAACTCAACACTGAGCAATGAACCTTGAAAATGAGGTCAAGGTCAAATAAAACCTGCGTGACTGACATATAGATCATAAAATATTTCCATACACCAAATATAGTTGAACTATTGCACATAGTATTAGAAAAAAAGACCAAAACTCAAAAACTTAACTTTGACCACTGAACCATGAAAATGAGGTCAAGGTCAGATGACACCTGCCAGCTTGACATGTACACCTTACAATCATTCCATACACCAAATATAGTAGACCTATTGCATACAGTATAAGAAAAACAGACCAAAACTCAAAAACTTAACTATAACCACTGAACCATGAAAATGAGGTCAAGGTCAGATGACACCTGCCAGTTGGACATGTACACCTTACGGTCCTTCCATACACCAAATATACTAGACCTATTGCTTATAGTATCTGAGATATGGACTTGACCACCAAAACTTAACCTTGTTCACTGATCCATGAAATGAGGTCGAGGTCAAGTGAAAACTATCTGACGGGCATGAGGACCTTGCAAGGTACGCACATACCAAATATAGTTATCCTATTACTTATAATAAGAGAGAATTTAACATTACAAAAAATCTGAACTTTTTTTTCAAGTAGTCACTGAACCATGAAAATGAGGTCAAGGACATTGGACATGTGACTGACAGAAACTTCGTAACATGAGGCATTTTATCAAAGTATGAAGCATCCAGATCTTCCACCTTCTAAAATATAAAGCTTTTAAGAAGTTAGCTAACGCCGCCGGATCACTATTCCTATGTCGAGCTTTCTGCGACAAAAGTCGCAGGCTCGACAAAAACCTGGAAGTATTAGGCCATCGTGTATTTATTCATGACACACAGTTCCTACGTGCACACGAAATAATCCAATGCAAAGCAACAACACTTTTATTTCTGTTCTTCATGTCAAACTCACATATTGACCTTCAACAAGGAGCGAATGCTCACACTTCATTGCAAGTTTAGGACACCACCTAGAACCTGTTTGAGTGGAATCATCTTCGACGTGTTTAACACGCTACATCTGTGCATTGAAGTAAACCGTTGTGGTGTATTATCAGCAAGTTACAGATTAAAAGGGAGAAGAAAATTTACTGACATATGATGTCATGATTTGCCTGACAAATGATTTGTATAATACCAGGATAATACAGAAGCAAAACAAACATTGTGATAAAGACAATATGCAGACTCTGTTGGATTGTTGTCTCATTGCAAATCATGTATCTACCTATTTTTATAAACACCAAAATTGTTTCTGGTCAGGAAATATATATAATGTATGAATTAACAGGGCAACCAATTCGATAAAATACAGACCGAAAGAGAGAAAGTGAATAAGTTAGTTATCGCGAAAATAAATAAACCCATAACTGTAAAATATGAGAGCATACAATTCAAACACAGAGACTCTGTCTTACTCTATACGGCCCCACAAAGGACAATTTATATCAATGAATGAAAAAAGAAGGGAGATGGTTGATAAACTGTTAACATAAAGCCATGCATTTGACAACACTTAAAGGAAAGCCGTTTTCTTCTTATTAGTCTGAATAGAGTTAACATATCTTGCAATTAAAGGAAATAATGGAATAGTTTATAATACAACACATCAAATGATACTCTGGGAACGAACATCACAGGAAAGCTCCTGTACCTTTTTATGATCTCTCAATCATATATTCCCATCCTATACGTAACACGATCAAGACGCCGCGTTTATGAATCTTTAAATCCAATTTATACAGTAAATATCCAAAATGTAATTGAAGTACATTTCAACGGATAAAATGACATGAAATCAATATATATAAAGAGTATGATTTAACATTTTTATTTAAATGACAATGTGACTATGCGAATACCCCTTTTCAGCATTCTTTTAACAGGAAATAGATGAACAAGTCAAGTGGAAATTTGTATGAATGAAATTTTAATATTTGAGCTAACTCCTACGTGTGGGAAAATCTATGTTTTATTTTGTATCGAGGGATCATCATGTTGTTCACAACTGTGTGTAAACTATATTCGAAATTAAGATACGTTTTTGCATGTGAACGTCGATTGTCTTTTGTTTGATGACCTATATGCTGTTGTAGTTTTAAGTAATTCAATTCCATGTTATAAAGTATTTAAAAGATTACAAGATATTGCAAACACATTCAAATTAATGTTTGAAGGTAAATATTTAGAAACCATGTAAGAAACGTGTTCTGTTGTGGACGATCAGACGAATCCAAACTATATCGCTATACGTATAATTAAAGACACATTTTTGATGATAGTAGTTATATTTATATCTTTACTAGAGAAATTAACATTTCTCACCAAACCATATTCACACTGCGTTGTATCTGAATTATAAACACTATACAAGCATAAAATGCATTATATTATCTTCAAACATTCACTGAAGAAACTTCTATCTTAAAGTTAAATAAAACATACAGTAAGTTTCGGGCTGTCTATTTTGATTATAAAAAGAATTCTTTTCCATCCTCTCTTTTCAATGACAGCCCAAACATCCCATCTATCATCCTGGTCGACCTATTATATTGTTTCATTTTTAATTTGTTCTCGCAGTGAATATGCATGAAATATTTGCAACTGGACGGTAAACAAACACCAACCAACCAGTTTCCTTTTCATTGAAAACTTGATTTTATTAATCAAAAGTTTAAAATGGGTTGAAAAAATCATGACAAAAAAGATTTTCTATTATAATTATAAACTGTTTTTATTAGAATCTTTTTTCAAATCCAATCAGTCAAAATACAACAGCAAAACATGTGAATTATACAAAATTAATATGCATATGCATGTCCAATAGAGAGAAAAAACAATTGTAGAAACATGACACTTTGTATAAGACAAAATAATTCAAAATACCAGTTGATTATGTTTAATCGTCCAACTATGTCAGTATGGTTCAGACATACAGACCTACCCCACGAGAGTGTCAACCTTAGCCTAACGACCCTACCCACGAAAGAGAGACAAATAAAGTCGTACAACCTCTCGCAAGGAAGAGTGTCAAGCAATAATTGTGTTTATTATTGAAAAAAAACTTTCATTTAAGTTTTGTGTGAAAATAGCGAAATCAAAACCTTTGTCATTTTAAAGAAAAGTTCTATGAATGAAAAGAGATCTGGGGTATATTCTAGTCTATATATAGAAAATGTGTGGGGTATCCTTGTTAAACCAAGGGCTGTCATACTATAAAATCGAAGGCATGGTTAATGTAGTAAACATATCATAATATAAATAATACGCATTGCAGATGCTAATAATCGATAATAAATAAATCATAAAATGAAAAAGAAAAAAAGCAGAAAAAGACATATAATCAGAAGAAAAAGAATTACTTACACTGTTGGTGAAACTCCCATGCTGTTCATATACTAAATATTTATGGTTTCAACACTGTGTAGTAAAATATTGTGGTTGAAAGATCACGGTTTGTGAATGGTCTATTAAACAGACTCGAGCACTTGTGAACACCTATTATAGTATTATGACGTTATATTAAAAGTTAAATATAAAGAAATATATGTTAAATATCGGAACGTATCGATAATGAGACAAATTTCACACACGCTATAGTTTATAAAGGAAAACAACTTAATTTATCCACATTCAATTTCCTTTCGGTGTACGTACACAAAAAATCCATGAAAATGAAATGTTCTATTACTCATACATAAAAAGACATACATTTTACGAATAATTTATGTTATACAACATCCAGGTAAAGTTAAGTTGCCAAAGGCAAATCATCTTAAAGAAGGAAACAAAATTATAATGTTATTGTGTACAGAATCTTTTACTAATAAAAATAATAATAAAAAGATCTCTCCTCGAAAAAAAATGCCAGACGGTCCATTAATTTGATGCACTTAAATAAATCTTTTCCCCGCCGACAAGACAGCTTGCATATTTCTCATACTTATGACGTCAGTATTTCTATTCCGGTTCTACCCTGCATCAGTATAATAAGTACAACTCACACATTCAATGAGTCAAATGTTCGGCTTTGAGCGTTCCTGATGAAGGTAAATCTAGAAAGGCGTTTCGGACACATGACATTTATAATGTGTTGTTTTCATTTTTTACAGCACTGGCTTCAACTCCCTCATGCAAGAATACCTTAGATGGATTTGGCTATCATGTTTAGATCCATATGGTCTTATAGCTCTTCAGCTGTTTCAGTTCTTATACATCCTGGCTTTCAAATATTTGGCTTTGAGCGTTCATGATGAAGGTTAATTCAGAAAAGCGCTTTGGACTCATGCAATTTATATAGTGTTGTTTTCATTTTTACAGCACTGGGTAGATTCCGCTGCCGATAGACTATGAGTCCCGAGGGTAGCATCAGCTCAGTAGTCAGTACTTCGGTATTGACATGATCAATAAAAAACCTTATATTTAAATTGTTCATTTAGAAATTTAAAATTTTTAAGGAACTAAGGTTTCAACTCCCTCAGGCAAAGTTTATCTTACATGGATTTGGCTATTATTTTCAGGTCCTTTTTGGTTGTAAAGCTCTTCAACTGTTTCGGTCCTTATACATCCCTGGCTTTCAAGTATTCGACTTTGAGCGTTCCTGATGAAGGTCAATCCGTAAAAGCGCTTCGGAAGCACGAAATTTATATAAAGTAAAGTGTTGTTTTCCTTTTTTACATCACTGGGTCGATACCGCTGCTGGTCGACTATTAGTCCCCGAGGATATCATCAGCTCTGTATAGTCTTGTACTTCGGTATTGCCATAATTTATAACAAACCCTACTTAAATTGTCCGTTTGGAAATTAAGAAATTTTTAAGAAAATAAGTTTTCAACTCCAATATGCAAAATTGACCTTACATGGACTTGGATAAAATATTTTTAGGTCCTTTTGGGTTGTATAGCTCTTCAACTGTTTCGGTTCCTATGCATCCCTGGCTTTCAAATATTCGACTTTGAGTGTTCCTGCTAAAGTTTAATCCAGAAAAGCGTTTCGGAAGCATAAACTTTATAAATTATCGTTGTCATTTAAAAACAACCTTTACCGAGATTGCACGGACAGAGAATTAGTTAAAGATAACCATCAGCTCAAACCTTAAATGGGATGTACACATTAACAGCATATGCAAGAAAGCTAATAGCACCCTAGGATTTCTAAGGAGGAACCTGAATACAAGCTCTACATCCATTAAAGAGCAAGCATACAAGTCCATAGTAAGACCATCACTAGAGTATGCTTGCTCTGTTTGGGATCCATACTTACAACAAGACATAAGTAGCATTGAAAAAGTTCAAAAGAGGGCTGCCCGTTTTGTTACCAACAAACACATAAACATCTCAAGCGTTGGTAACATGTTACAACACCTTGAATGGCGCAGCCTCTCTGACAGAAGAAAAGATTCAAGATTGATAATGCTTTACAAAATAGAACACTAAAAGGTTGCAATACCTAAAAATAATAAAATAATTCCACAAAAAAGACAAACAAGACATTCAAATTCGAACAGCTTACAAATTCCATCCTGCAAAACACAGTACAGAAAAGAATCGATCCTTTTTTCCAAGAACTATAACCGACTGGAACAAACTACCTGATAATATTAAAAATTGCACATCAGTAGACTCTTTCAAATCTTCAATTTCAAAGCATCAATATTAACTCAACTATTACATCAAACTAATTATACATTGCATTTTTCATTTTTCCTCTATTTTTTAATTTGTATATATATCAATCTATGTCTTGTTGTAAATTTCCTCCTGTGACATAATCTTCAATTTGTTGAAGGCGGTCACTATATGGTAGAAGTAGATTAATTGAGATATAAATTCGAAACAGAATATTATGCGGAGGAAATCAAGTTGTGTGTCCGCGCCGAGTAACAACACATGCAGTCATTAGCTGATAGAATCCCAACTGTTGATGAAATTCTTTTTACGATTGTGGAAATACCCAGTAAATGCCGACATTTGAACTAAAGAATGTTTTTTTTTCAAACATGAAAATTCGTCCATCCAAATTTAGACGGATCATCAATGTAATATATAAATTGACAGTTGCGAAAATCTAATTCCAACTCCGATGTTATGTTGTCAGTTGTCAGTTTGTTTTCGACTTACGAGTTTGAATATCCCTTTGGTATCTTTCGTCTCTCTTTTATGGAAACATGAAAACCGGAATGGAAGCTGTGATGTACAAAAATGGACTTTTGTGTGCTCTTTAATACCGAAGAGTTTCACAAAATGGCGGTGCATTCAAATTAAAAACATCCCTGTGTGTCCAACTATCCCATTCGGTATGTATAAAAACAGAAAAGCTTAAATATGTATACAATCTTATACAAACACCATTGTTTGTATTTAACAAACATTTTATGTTGAGTTTCTTTAATGTAAGACGTGTTTATATTTTATTCAATTAAAAGTTTAGAAAATCAAAATTATGAACGAAAAAATTCTACTAACTCCCTGAGACAAATTTGACTCTAAATTATTTTGGCTGTTCTTTTAACACCGTTTTTGTTTTACATGCTCTCGTTCATTTTATATTTTTGGCATTCAAAATTTTGGCCTCAAGCGTTCTTGAAGAAATTTGTTTCAGGAACACGTCCGTGCGCATGACATCGGAATCTTACATTTGTTTCCACTTATGACACCACCCTCCCAGTAAACAGTGCTTCAGTAATTGCATGTTTTAAATGACATATTCTGTGTGTAATAAAACGATTGACTGTTATTTGCTTAACGTCAACTGACATATATTTTATATATGTTCTAGACGAGAATCAATTATGCAATATAACAAATAAGTGTGTCGAACAGATAGGAGATGGTGAAATTTAGACTGCCTACGGAAAAAGAGGGAATGTTAATTAAGGGCAGAAATTCAGACATCTAACATATACAATCTACGGACAAACTAGAGTCCTCGCAATGGCTCCCTGAGTGTAAAAAGCGTTACACGCTCTCAACATGGGGTGTCACATTTAACGTTCCCGTTACAACTGGATGGGATGCGCATTTGATACATCATACACAAATACGGACGCACCTTGTGGGTTGAGTCATAACACTCAGTCGGAAAAAAATGTACAATATAAACATCCCGGGTTATTCTTGTATTAATGTCCTGTTTTCAATTTAATTGATTGTATTAAAACTGCGGTTGCAACTCCTCAACAAAAACAATATGTACCATTCAGATTATGCTAGTACAGTACTGAAGCACTGGCTATCGTTGTCTTGAGACAGTAATTACTGTTCTAATTATGATCCCAATTAAGCTCTTTTAGTTTTATTAAATTATCCCAATAACTACAATCAAAAATAATAAAAAGGAGAAAAAAATTTAAACACTTTCAAAGTAAGGAAGTATGTGTATTTAACCAGGAGGTGATGCAAATACACAACGCAAAGATGTGTAAGTGGACATATCCTTCTTTTCCAAGGAAGAATTATGTAAAAATCATACATCATCTATAATAGGCAAAGCAATGGAAATCCAAACTGCTGTTAATGATAAAAATAGAAATATTAAACGAAAATCATCTAAAATAGTGTTATGTTGAAATGATTATTTTTTCCCCAATATAAACCAGATTTGTGATAATATAAAATATACCATTGAACTTTTTTAAACTTACAAACTGGTATTCAAGTTTTTTTCAGTTTCATACACACAATTTGACATATATCCTTCTGAATGCATTAAAAGTTTTTTTTACCCTAACCGATGTGACCATTTTAACCCAAGTTTCATACAGACAATTTAACATATATCCTTCTGAATGCATTAAAAGTTTTTTCCCTAACCGATAAAAAAAAAACTTCGACAGTAAAACTCTTACCAATGTGGGCGTCCGTTTCGCTGTGCGGGATATAAAAATACACAGCCATGTCCAGTCATATTGTGTACGATGCCTTGTGTAAAGAGAGTGCCACGCTCTCTGCAAGTTATGAACCCTTGCCGGTAGTTCTTTAAGGGGTCCGTAGTACAATATATTTAGAACGACAAAGACGGAAAAATCGGACATAAAAATCACCATTCCTAATAATATGGTGGTTTGAAGCGTATTGCTCAAGACAAAAAAGTACTAAAAAAAATACTCCAAGGTAAAGGGGGAAGTCCATAAAACATGACAAAAAATACTATAACACTGGGACGAAAAAAGTGAAAATCACTAAAAACGTACAAAACTCTCAGATCGCTATTCTTAGTAATTTAGTAAAGTTGGAAGTTAAATGCCCTATGCATGATAGAGTAAGCGCGTGATTAATTTGTACAAGGAAATTTTTTCAAGAAGTTTTTGAGGTGGATCATTGGTATATATTTCCTAAGATAGAATTTTCTTATACTTTGCCAGAATATAGATTTTTCCATTCTTTTTTCAAAAATATAATAAGTATTGGTCACCGTGCTATTTTTCAAACTACAAGTCGTGCAAAATTGCCCAAATTTGCATATATTGTTCATGAAAAAACACTTTTTTGTG